AAGATTAAGAAATCCTTGTGTGAAAACCTTTTGAAGTCGAAGGGAGGAGGACATTGTGGGAAACGGAGGGAATTCGTCAGCTGTGTGTCTCTCCCTCTTTCTATTCCATTTTCTTATTGTTCTCTTATTCTCATTATTCATTTATTCATTTATCTGTTGATTTTGAACGTGAGGAAGAATGGGATCATAGATAAGGGAAGAGAGCAAAATACGAGAGTAAGCAATCAGATTTGAAGATTGATGTTATTTTGTTTGTTTGTTTTAACCATTCTGTCACAGTTATTTTTAGAAATAAAAACGTAGCAAATAAAAGCTAGACCTTAGACTTATTTCTTTAACCCTAATATATATATATTTTTTCCTATGAATTTATATTTTTTATGAAGTTATTTGTACATACACTGAAACGTATACGTAAACATCCACATGTGCGTACACAATCCTTACAGATTGTCATGAAATATTTCAAAATTAAACTAATGTTCTGCATTCGTATTCACTTCCCTTGTGCTTTTAACATTATCGAAATCATATGAACTGCCGAACCGGAAATGAATATCATTTTTATAAACGTTGTGAAATATGGGTTGCAAAGGCCGTAGAGTTTATGTGTTTTCATTTTTCTGCGCCATTGCCATTAACTGTGACCGGGATATTTCAGCTCTCTAGTTGTGTAGATATTGCTGATGAATATATTGTCAACAAGCAGACAATACAACGAATATCAATTATTTACTTAAATAGGTGCACTGCTATTTTCTCCCTTTCCCCTCCCTTCCCCTCCCTTCCCTCCTAAAGTAATAACAAATCTGCCCAGAAAATGATTCATAATTCTTAGTTTTTTTTCTTCTTCTTTTTGGTGAATTCAGCGCAGGTTGAAATTAGTCTTAATATAAGCCCATAATGGGTTGGGGAGCTGATTAACCTTGCAACAAAGGCTTGCAATCTTAATTACATGGTTGCAACATTGTGTCTGCATGGAGCTTGATTGACATTGGGTTTGTTTAACCTGTGAAGAGTTTGTGAGAAAGCGGAAGGGTGCACGAATGACAAGTCTGTTTGTCATGCAACAGTGTTATATATAATGGCAAAGGCTCTGTTAGTTCTGGAACGTGTTATACATCTATACATATATATATGTATATATATATATATATATATATATATATATATATATATATATATATATATATATATATATATATGTATATGTGTGTGTGTGTGTGTGTGTGTGTGTGTGTGCATATATATATATATATATATATATATATATATATATATATATATATATATATATATATATATATATATATATATATATATATTGTGTGTGTGTATATATACAAACACACACACACACGCACACACACACACACACACACAAGCACACACACACACACACACACACACACACACACACACACACACACACACACACACACACACACACACACATACACACACACATAGATAGACAGATATAGATATAGTTAGATAAACAGATAGGTAGATGGAATAACAGATATATAATTTGACAAATAGATAGACAAATAGATAGAAAAACAGATCGCAATATTTCAAATACTATGTATAAATAAATCCACACATTCTGTTGTACACTTGATCAGACATCTGGATAACACATTATCAGAAACAGTTTCCATACAGTGCGGAAGGCTAAATCGTCAGATAACATGAGCTCCGGAATCTAAACCCCTTCTCCTGAATCAAATTGCTCTTTGGCGATGTATTCGGTTCCAAAAACAGGACATTTTCACAGGGCTTCCTACAAGCGTCCCTATTTGGCAAACTATATGACTTATCAAATGAGAGGGATTAAATCTCTGTTGATCAGTTAAGTAAATTCATAAATACCTGATGCATTAGAATGGTTCATCCTTCGTTTGCAAAGACATAATGCTAAATACTACCGATAAACAACAGCAAACTACCCACAGCAACAACACCAGCTGATCTGATTAGCATCCTGATTACAGACGGAAACTCTTTGTAATCCAGAACTCTGTATCAACACGAGGGTTAGTGTGTATTTAGACGCCTTAGACTTAGATTTCGGTAATGTTGCTTTTGCTATTGCATTTCCGAGACTTAAAGAGTGAAAATCTGTATGATTCTCGTATGTGCGTGTTGCTCCTGTTCATGCTTTACTCTTCTTGGTTTTCGCTTTTATCTTTTTATCTTTTATCGCGTTGTTGATGGTATTCGTGCTTTTCTGTGGTGGTATCGGTGGTATTTTTGTTCTTTTGCTTCTTGTTGTTGTATTCCCGTTTATTTGTATTACTGTTTTTTTTTTTTTTTATATTATTGTCATTGCACAGTATCATGTTTCAGAAACTATTATTCTTATTGTACAGTGTTTTTATTACTGTTATAGTATTGGCAATGTTGGATACAAATCCAGTAAAAGAAAATATCAAACTGTAAACAACAGAGTGACATTACTAGTGGAACTAAAGTTAGATATAGTTATGATCTAAAT